AATTATTCCATGAGCGTGCGTTTGATATGAGTTGACTATGGCCATCTCATATCCAACAAGAGGGAATGGAATAATCGTTTTTATTATTATTATTTTTTAAAAAACTCCAGACGTCTAGTTATTACAGCTGAATTTTAATAACTTTCACTTTAATCATATCGACCGGATATTGATATGATTCCGGTAAGCCAAGGGAAAATCACCTGACATGCGCACCGTTTGCGAACTTAGTTGAATGAAAAACCTGGGAGCGGCACAACCAAATCTACAACCAAAAGGAAAATTTATCTCATAAAAAGGAATATTGATCAAATGTTCGGGTTAAAATCTTCGTTAGGAATTAAGACTTCAAAGCTAGTAAGGTCGAGAAGAAGGGTAATAATTGTGTACCTGCACATTACAATTGTACGAATACTATACGGGAGGCTTTGATCGCAGTGTGACAAGGACTCTATGCTAAAATTATTCTCGACAAGAACTGTTTTCGCGTTCCTTTACTGTGACTGCTGTCAGTGGAATTTAACGCTGGATATGTCAACCTGATTGCTAGTCAATATATTTTTTTTTCTTCACTGAATCGGAGCTGCACAAAGACTTCATTAATCAATAAAATCACTGATTATGAGAGCAAGCATTGTTGTTCAACGCAATAGGACGCTCTTTGTAGGTTTCACTTGTGGACGGTTTTGGACGAAAGCGTGAGAGGTGTAAACGCTCTTCAAACAAGCAGAAAAACTTCTAATGGTGTTAAAAACTTACTCCTCCAAGGCCTTGCAGGCCATTCTGAGAAATTGTAATTAACGGTAAGCTTTGTTGTTGTTGTTGATGTTACATGATCGGCTCGACGTACGGAAGACTTATAATTTCTTTAAATTTATAAGAAAACTTCGGAGGTATTATACGTACCATTAAATGATTTCAAACCAAAGTTTGTGGCTGTTGTCATCGCCACCGATATGATTTTTCCAGCATTTTGTTTATTTCGTCGGTAGGAAGCTCGTGAAATCAACTTTTTCCGCCAATTTCTCGGAGAGAAATTTTGTTTCCTGGCAAAATTTTTTATCTTGACACACTCAAGGCGCCATAAGGATCATTCTTGGCTTTTTTCACCAGTCGCAGAAGAAACTGGCCGTTGTAAAGAGGTTATTTTGGCAGTTGGAGACACGCTTTTGTGGCTGTTACCGTTGTAGAGAGTTTTAAATATGATTCAATGTATAGCCTGTCCGCCGGAACAAAACAAAAGTGGCCGTTGAAGGGAGCCATGGCCATTAGTGGAGGTTCGACTGTATAACTTAAAGGCAGTAAACTAATCCTCTTGACGTGTTTTGTTTTCTCATTTGTTTTTCTTGTTTGTGTATAATAATTTACGTCTGCTCTGATCATGAGAAGTTGAACAAATTATTACTAACCGTCACTAATAACTGAATTTGACTAACCTCCTTTTGATAATCCGAAGACTGTTACAAGGCAAATAAGGAACAAGAAAATTGACCACCGACTAAACGCGTTGCAGCAGTTTCGTATCCTCCTTGAATGGTCCAGCATTTGGCCCAAAAAAGTAGGATTATAAGTAAAGTATGGAAACTACGAGATGGCCATTAAAAGAGATACAACCACTGTCAAAGTTACCTTTTCGAATGAAGTTTATACCAATCACCCGCTGAGAAGAAATCACCTCTGCTTGAAGAGAAATTTAAATAGAAATCCTTGTTCCCATAATATGAGAAACAATTATTATAAATAATAAATATATTCATAATTGTTTCTTATGTCACGGAAACAAGTATTTCTATTTAAATTTCTCTTCAAATGAGAGGTGATCTCTTCTCAGCGGGTGCATCTTCCAAAAAAAAAAAAAGAGAGAGTTAAGAAAGGACAATAACTTCATTAAGCCTTCAGATAAGAAAAAGAATAAATAACAAAAAGCCAACGAAAAAAATAACCTTTATCATTGCTGTCCTTAGACTTTAAGTAGTTTCTTTTTAGTCAAACCTGTGCGACATGAATCGGTCGTCACAATAAAATAATGTTTCAAACACCTGCTTCAAAATAATCTTAATTTCCAATGTAAACATTTTAAGTTTGTTTCTTTTCCCACTTTGGTATTGGTTCATTCGTTTTTGTTTATTTTCTTGTTTTCATTCAATTAATTTCTTTTTGTTTCTTTAGTTGAACTTGTTAAAAATATTTGTCACCGAAACTTGACTCCCTATCCCGCAAGCAGGCCAAGAGAGGAGATGAGTGATTTAAACAAAGACCTTAAGGTCACCAGGTTGAAAAGGAGACATAGTCTCCTGTTTAATTGGGATAATGCTGCACCAATTCTTAACAATGGCACAAAAAAAGTGACATCGCTGAACGTTGTCGTTGCTAATTGCACCGTGTTACACCCTCCACAGAGATAAGCGTGGGGATTATTTGACGTAATTAGGATTTATGGGATGGCGTTTGCAGCATTCTTATGCAAATTTAAATTTACAAAAAGCAGCTGCTGTTATTTTTGTGCCAATAAAATAGGCGTAAAAATGGTTCTAATGTGTAGAAAGTATTGTCGGTGTGTACTCATGGAAATTCTAAGAAGTACTGAAGTAATCGTAATGGTATGTTTCATAGTTGACGTTATGGCTATTTCTCTTAAGGCATATCAAGTTGACTTTTAAAAGTAAGCGAAAGACATTAAAAATACAAATGTACTTTTTGTTTCTTTTTGAAATTTGTATTTTGCACAATGTGTTTTAACATGAATTTACAACATTTGATCAATTACATTACAGATCGTTGTTTACACCCATTGGACTAGCTAAGTTTATAGGAAAACACAGCGTGAACAAGAAAAATAAAACAAAAAAAATTAAAGATAATAGAGTGAATTAACAGTTAATGAATGAGGCTGAGTATCTTATGAAGAATTATGGAGATCGAGGAGGGTGTTACGGCCTCGACGGATAATACCCTCCGAGATCTCCATAATTCTTCATAAGATACGAAAGCCGAATTCAATAACTGTTTTATTATTCATTCAAAAAAATTCCTAGTTTAAAAACATAGCTAAAACATGCTTACCTCCATCGATCCCTCCTTCGATCCATCGATGTTCAGTTCATCTTCGATAGTGTACATTCAGGTTTGTCCAGCTCCGCAAATATTCTCCAAATAGCAGATGTCGCCCTTCGAGTTGTCTTCTTGCTGTTCTTGCCATGTTTTAGCTATTTTTTCGCCTAGTTCTTACTCTTGAAACGAGTGAAATGTCCGCCATTTTTTCAAGTTCACAACCAAAACAACTCAACCTCGTCCCCAGGTCTTCTCGGTTAACGGTGCCTTAACCTGCGAAAACGCTGCATTTTTGACGTCATTTCCTCGTTAAAGTCAAAATTCTTCCAAATTTGGTCATCAGTAACTGGTTATGGTAAATTAAACGTGTGCTTTTAGCCAATCAGAATCGGGGAAATATTTTGATGAATAATAATAACATTTCATGGATAGAATTAGTTGTAAAATACTCTCAAAAGAAATGAGGGACAAACGCACATACAAAGGAACCCCGTGGTCGTCGGTGCTAAAACAAACCAGGAAAAATAATTCCCACAACTGTCCTGCATGTGGATTGTGGATTGTATGATATCTAATTTCAAGGTCAGAATGCCATCAGAAAACTCAAAACGCAGCAGATAAACTGAGAGTCAACTCAAGTCAACTCAATCATAATTATAATTATAATAATAATAATTCAAAAACAAATTGTCTGACTTTGCATATTCTAACATGTTTTTTTCCTATAGGTAAATAACCACCAAAGCTAGGTTCGACATTGCTTGTCTGATTAGATAAAATCAGGCTCTTTAAAGAAAAAAAGCCAAAAATGTTGTCATTGACTATGATTAATGCGATGATTAAGCTATTACTTATTCTGAGGTCCCTACAATCATTTGAGAGGGGTTTGAAGGGTGGGGTGCCAAGCGAGATGAGGAAAAATGATTCAACAAAACTAGGAGCCAAGAGTGCAATGAACTGAAAGATAATTTGTGTGTAAATAGTTGCCTTAAAGGTTTAAGATATTACTTTTTCTTGACTAATACTGTTTCAAATTCTATTTTTGTTATGAAAGAGAACATCTTTGAATGATAAGCCACCTTAGCATGCGTGCATAAATTTATGACCCCCCCTTGTTCACTTCATGATTAGTCCTTTGTAATAATAATAATAATAATATTAACAATAATAATAATAATAATAATAATAATAATAGTTGAGCTGTTTAGTTTACTACGTATTTCGATAAAAAAAAGAAGTTGATATTGCTCGAAGTTTTGATTGTAACACACACCGGAGTATATTGTAAACTTTCAGTCACGCTTCGCTCTAACAGCTGCCGTAAAACGACGACGGTTTGGTGCTAGAAAAAAGCTACAAACTTCGCATCTGTTCCTTTATTTTTTAAGTTTTCCGTGGTGTATAGGAGGAGTGAAAACTACGCAGTGCAGTAGATTGGACCCAATCGCCAGCTAATTTGTACAGGAGGTAATGGCATTGGTCAAAGTGACCAAAAGCAATGGAAAATGGAAAGTTAGTCTGTTTTGAAAAACAGATTAATTTCCTAACGACAGGGGGAAAATGCCTGCTGTTAATTCATACAAAGTAGTATCGTTACCCCTTTGAGTGTTAAAGTATACAGAGTGCCCTATGAGACGATGTGGTATATGTAGTTATGCTGGTATTTTTTTTTTTTTTGATACCGGTATGACAAGAGTTGGCATGTTTCCCCCACAATGGGCTATTCTTGCATTTACTGGTATAACATTTTTTATAAAGGGAGGTAGGTGTTAAATTTGATTGAGAAAAGCCGCAAATTAATTTTCTGCCAGAAATCGAAAACAGATTAATTCTTATATTACATATCATGATTATACAGGGTGAGAAAGTTACATTTTCAACAAATGAAGGAAAAAATTAAAACGATTAGAAGGCAAAAATCAAGCAGTAAAAAGATGGTCGGTTTAGGATTTCTAGAATTAGTCTAGGCTAGGAATATTCAGTGTTATGTTACGTAATGCTGAAAATATACGTTTGGAAATAACAGCAATGATTTCCATATAACTATGTTAGTTACCTTTTTTTTTTTAATTCCCTGGTTCAAATCTTCCGATCTTTCTTTTAAATCATGCGTCGGATAATTGTTATAATGCTGACTTAAATAAAAAGCCAATAACTTAGAATAACTCTGCTCCGTAGCTGTAGGCTTGTCTATTAATTCATAAAACTTTCTTGCCCAATCAATGGGAAATCTCCTCAGCTGTTTTGTTTCTCGTAGACGAAAACTGTCGAACAGTTGAATTTCAAGAGGAAAGAAAGAACGAGGTGTTAATCAACCACGTCTCCCATCGTTATTACGTTGATAATGACATCTGCCAGATTAACTGTTACCGCGAACCAGGCTGTGTATCCTATAACCATGGTACGCTGGGTGATGGGACATTTTTGTGTGAGCTGAACGACAAGGACCATACGCAAGCATCGTCGAATGAGATGGTGGCAAGATATGGGTTTATATATCGTCCAATATTTGTACGAGATGACGTAATAAATAAGTTATATTCGCCGATGAAAAGGCTCAAAGCTCAAAAAAATGATCCTTTGTCTAACTCTATCAATTTTCTTTCAGAATCCCTGTGGAAGCAGCCCCTGCGCCGGACATTCCAAATGCCAATCAGGTTTTGGAGACCAGGAATATCACTGTAGTTGTCTACTTGGCTTCTATGGAGAAGAATGTGAATTAGGTATGACAGCAGCTAAGAAACCGATTTTCCATGCGACGGGGCAGGTGGTCTGAAGGAACGACAAGCAAGTGAATGCAATCATAGAAATGCAAAACAATTGCCTAAAAAATTTAACTGCGTTACGTAGGGAAAACACACTCTATTGGGCAAAATGCTAAAACTTAGTATTGCAAACTGAAATTTGGCGAAGAAAAAAAAAATCATGCACACTGTGCTTCCTAGAAAAAAGGAAAATGCGAACTTAAAAGTACACTCCAATGCAGTACACGCAAGGATCGGAGCCGATTGGAGGGAAAGATTTCAACACTTCTTTATATGAATAAATTGATCCGATATCTATGTAATACACATATACATAATACATACATGATACTGCTGCCAAGGCGCAATTCACTTCATTAATGCTGTCAATTGTTATTTCAATGGTCTGGAGACTAAAAAGCAAAGGCGATCCCACAAATGCGCAATGTAAAATGTACAAGGAAATTTCGAGCCCCTTTTTCATTCTTTCTCACCATTAATTATTAATACGAGACAAACTATACTACTAAATTTATATTACTGCTACTACTACTACTACTACTACTACTACTACTACTACTACTACTACTACTACTACTACTACTACTACTACTACTACTACTACTACTAGTTGCCTTGGAAAACTTTTCAGTTCTATTTTAAATCGAAGACTTCACTTGTATTTTGAGGAAAATAAGATATTACATAATTCCCAAATTGGCTTTTTGCCTGAAAACCGCATTGTAGACCATGTTTTCACTCTAAGGACCCTAATAGATAAATATGTGCATTATCTCAAGGAAAAAGTCTACGCTTGTTTCGTAGATTTCCGCAAAGCGTTTGACTCTGTTTGGCACGAAGGATTGTTTTATAAGCTTCTAAAAACGAATATAGGAGGAAACTTGTACAACCTCATGAAAAGCCTTTATTGCAACTCGACATGTTCCATCAAAATCGGTGAAAACAAAACACAGCCTTTTTCATATTCCAGAGGTGTTCGTCAAGGCTGTATTTTAAGCCCTCTTTTATTTAACCTCTATTTAAACAATCTATCACATTTATTCGAAAACACCTTATGTGACCCATTTGTTCTTCCAAATGGGAAAAAATAAATTCACTTTTCTACGCAGATGATTTAGTTATTCTATCAAGATCGAAAACTGGATTACAGAACTGTTTAAATGCGCTTTCCTTGTATTGTCTGTATTGTGACAAATGGAAGGTAAAAATTAATCCGAAGAAAAAAAAAATTATGATATTCCAGAAACGCCCAAAAGACTCTATTGACATCAAATTCAACATAGGCAGTGAGTCAATTGAAATTGTCCAAGAATACACTTATTTAGGTACACGTTTAACTCCAACGGGAAACTTTACACTTGCACTCGAACACTTAAAAGAAAAGGCCCTTCACGCGTTTTCTAGTATTCGGAAGCGGACAATTCTTAACAAACTTGATCCTAATACTGCATCCCAAATTTTTGACACCATGGTATTCCCAATCTTGAGTAACAACAGCGAGGTATGGGGAATGTACACCAAGCAAGATTTTAAAAAATGGAATAGCTCCCCAATAGAAAAAATCTACCTCAAATTCTGTAAACGCTACGTAGAGGTTGACAATAAGGCCTCTAACATAGCTTGCAGAGCTGAACTTGATAGATTGCCGCTGCTTATCCCGATAAATCAGAAAATTATGAAACATTTTGTTTACCTCAACAACAAAGATAATGACTCTATAGTAAAACAGTCTTTCCTTATGTCAAAGAATCTACATTCTATGAATAATTCAGGATATTTTTCCAATTTCATAAACATGTTTGAACAATACAATCTAACCAGTTTAGATGCTGAATCTCTAGATAATGATAAAATTAGACGATATACCACAGAAATGAGAGAGAAATATCTATCTTTTTGGCGGCACAGCCTCGAAAATTCAAAAAAACTAGAATTTTATAAAAATTTTAAAGATGAATATTCTACATCTGATTATCTCTACCAGCTAAGACATTATGACGAACGACAGAATTTTGTTAAATTTAAAATAAGTAATCACAAACTTATGATTGAACATGGTCGATACCAAATCGATCATTTGCCAAGAGAAAATAGATTATGTCCTTTATGTAACTCAAATCAGGTAGAAGATGAGATTCATTTCCTCTTTCAATGTAACAAATACTCAGTACTGAGACAGGCATTTATTAATCAAATCAATCGAATAATACCTGACTTTGACAAGAAATCATCTCCAGAAAGCATAAAACTGATAATGAATTCGAAGGAACATCATGTAAATAAGTTAGTTATGAAGTTTGTTTCCTCCTGCATGAAAATACGTGATTCATCGTTAGTAATGTAACCGAATTTTTCTAGATTATTATTAGCGCTGTTTTGTTTTATATTTTGATTGTCATATACATGCTTTTGCAATACTGTAAAATGATGCGGTCATGCAAATAAAGCAATTTATTACTATTACTATTACTACAGCTACTACACCTACTACACCTACTACACCTACTACAGGTACTACAGGTACTACACCTACTACAGCTACTACAGCTACTACACCTACTACAGCTACTACAGCTACTACACCTACTACAGCTACTACACCTACTACACCTACTACAGCTACTACA